AAATTTCGTTTTGTTACATTTCACGTAATTTAGTGAAAGAAAGCTGAAAGCTAGAAAGCTGTTTTTAACAAATCCTCACTCAAAAGAATAAAAAGTCAATTTCAGCTCTTCTTGTTACTGCTCGTCCTGAGCGTGTTGTAGCTGGCCGCTCGTCTACATATTCCTCGTCTGAGGCGATAAAAGCAAGAACGACATCATTTGAGTCGTCTTCAGAGTCAGGGGCATCACTCTTGTAATCATCATCAGTTTCTTCTCCCTCACTGCTTTCACCACTGCTGTCTAGTTGACCTGATTCATTGCTGCCTCTCACTTCGGCTTGACCTGTTCACGGAGGGTCGTGGGTTCGAATCCAATCTGGGGCTCAGATTTTTTCTGTGTCCTCTTATGGTTGATTCTTTACATCTCCCTTTATTTTCCTTTATAATATTAATATCAGTTGCATAGGTTGGTTGGTTGGAGGCTCCTTCATGGGTGAGACATTTCTTGCTATTAATGTGACTGTATTCTTGGGTATTCAAGTCCGCGCGAGCAGTCAAACCAGGGGGGGCTGGCAACGGCCTTTGATCTTGCCGCTTTTCGGCTTTCCATGATTGCCCCAGTTAAGAAATCTGTCCATCATTCGAGAACTGTAGCGAGCATGCGCGAAACGGGGTTGGAAAAACAACAACAAGAATTTCGTCTTCGCAGCGATTCGACAGTGTGAAGTGAATTCGCTTTTGGTCCCGTTGGTCATTGCTTACTTTGCTGTAACCAATTGTTGTCCGCGGTAATGTGGAGCTTACGTTTTCCCGTCTTCTGGTTGTGCGTTTGTCATTACATGCGGTTTACTACGCTAAGAACGAGACGGGTGAACATTGATCGTAAAGAGCCATTGTTCCTAGAATGCCCAACCTTTTGACTAACTGCACCTCTCTAGATGCAGGCTCTCAAGCTGGGTTTCTGTTTAGAAGACCCGCAAGACTAAAAGAAGGGCTAACCCTCCAATACGTATGTAGAAGAGTTTATGTTTTCAAGTGAAAGGCCCAAAATTAATTCTTCGTGATATTAAAAAAAGTGCAGTGGCTGTGGTTGAGTAGAAGAGTTGTCAGAGTTCTGAGAGTTGTTTACGGTTTTACTGCACCTTTAAGACGACAAGACATGATGATTGAGAGTCTTAATTCTACATCCTTAATTGTGAACCTATTCTGGCAGAGTTGCGTTGGATGATTGAGTGGCATGGTCAAATCTCGTAGTTCATGTATTTCTTTATGCACTAGAAACTAAATAAATTTGCCAAGAGATCATTGTCTCTTTATTTTGCACATGTTGATATGCTTAAGTTCTTATCTTCCTTTTAATTGATTTAAACTTTACCGTAGTTTCCAACAAATAAAGCTTAGGCAAATGAAAGGGTACTTATTTTAAGTGTTTGGAATTCCCTTTTCATAACAGCAGCTATTACACTTCCTTCAGTCTGAGTCTTCATTCAAGTGTGTTTTGTTGCCAACGAAGAGGGAAAAATTATAAATTCCAAAAACTACACTACCCCTCTGAACAAGATTATGGCTTAAAAAAGATGAGTTCAGAAAATAAATGTTCAAATTTGCATGTTTTAACAAGGACCACATCTGGCTAAATATGCTTCAAAGGAAATTTATAAAATAAGGAAAATGGTGACATTTCTATTCTAAATTGCCTTTCCTTTGGCCACTGTGATCAGTTTTTGCCATACAGTTGCATGTAATTGTTTACACCTTTGGACATCAACGTGCCAGGTTAGTTTGTGTCTGCATAAAAATGTAGTTGATGAAATCAAACCCTGTTAACTTAAGGCGTTGAACTTGTGGATATGAAAAACACCATTAAAAAAGTTCATGAAAACCTTTATTGATGTTTGGACTCGGGAAAACTTAAAACCGAGCAAAAACTCATCGTCCTTCCGTGTCTGTATTCTTCGACATATTTGTTTTGAAGAAAAATTGGTGCTCTGTCTCACTCGACCAAATTTCTTAAACTCGGTTCCAGACCTCGCCGCCAGCCCCCCCTGAGTCAAACAAAAGGTCTGGAACGAGGCTGAAAACAGTGACCGAGACTGGGGAGAGACGCTAGGTTTTTTTTCTCGCGCCTCACATGTCCTACGGGTGTGTGAGGCTCTCGCGCTTCGCGCGCGTAAGACTCTTACGCCACACTTTACCTTTTTTTTTCACTAATTTTGAGAAAAAACCCGACTGTTTTGCAGTCTAGGTTTAACACAATGCACATCTCTCTTTTTTTTTTCATCTACACAAAGCACTTATCCCTAACGTCTTCACACAGCTTGTCGCTCATTTTGGTAATAAAAATGATAGAACTACTATATAATATGGAGACATTTTTAAAACAAGTTTCGTCCGTTGGGTTGTATAATCGTTCATACCTTTGGTAAAAAACGATCACTTCTCAACTTTAACAATTGTCTGCAAATATTCATCGTACTTACAGGAGACGTTGATAACTTCCACCCTACTGTCACTTGCACAGTCATTTTCCACTTCACATCTGTATGTCCCACTATCATTTCTGTTAATGCTTGTGAAGTTTAGGATGCTGCCATTAATGCGCTGATTATTGTCCTCTTTGATCCAATAAATAATTAGCTTTGGGTCACCAGATGGTTTGCAAGTAACGACAAAAGGATCACCTTCAATCGCTTTATTTGAAGAGTTTACAATCCTCAACACAGAAGCAGGATCTAGAAATGCAATGTAAATGAAGTCGAGTTAAGAGGAATGAAAGCTTAACTCAAACACATTATCAGCGACTAACTTATGTTCAAAGTGTAGTCATCTATATGCTATATGTACATGTACGTGTTAACTTTTCATTGACATGTGCGTTT